ATTTGTTGGGAACATGACATTATATTGAGGAATGGAGATGGACCTTTCAAATGGTATACAAGATCTCCTCCTCATTTGTTGGGAAACGTGACGTTATATTGAGGAATGGAGATGGACCTTTCATATGGTGTCCAGTATCTCCTCCTCATTTGTTGGGAACATGACATTATATTGAGGAATGGAGATGGACCTTTCATATGGTGTACAGTATCTCCTCCTCATTTGTTGGAAACATGACATTATATTGAGGAATGGAGATGAAGGACCTTTCATATGGTGTCCAGTATCTCCTCATTTGTTGGGAACATGATGTTATATTGAGGAATGGAGATGGACCTTTCATATGGTGTCCAGTATCTCCTCCTCATTTGTTGGGAACATGACATTATATTGAGGAATGGAGATGGACCTTTCATATGGTGTACAATATCTCCTCCTCATTTGTTGGGAACATGACGTTATATTGAGCAATGGAGATGGACCTTTCATATGGTGTACAGTATCTCCTCCTCATTTGTTGAGAACATGATGTTATATTGAGGAACGGAGATGGACCTTTCATATGCTGTCCAGTATGTCCTCCTCATTTGTTGTGAACATGACGTTATATTGAGGAATGGAGATGGACCTTTCATATGGTGTACAGTATCTCCCACATTTGTTGGGAACATGACGTTATATTGAGGAATGGAGATGGACATTTTATATGGTGTCCAGTATCTGCTCCTCATTTGTTGGGAACATGACATTATATTGAGGAATAGAGATGGACCTTTCAAAATGGTGTCCAGTATCTCCTCATTTGATGGGAACATGACGTTATATTGAGAAATGGAGATGGACCTTCCATATGGTGTACAGTATCTCCTCCTCATTTGTTGGGAACATGACGTTATATTGAGGAATGGAGATGGACCTTCCATATGGTGTACAGTATCTCCTCATTTGCTGGGAACATGACGTTATATTGAGGAATGGAGATGGACCTTCCATATGGTGTCCAGTATCTCCTCCTTATTTGTTGGGAACATGACATTATATTGAAGAATGGAGATGGACCTTTCATATGGTGTCCAGTATCTTCTCATTTGTTGGGAACATGATGTTATATTGAGGAATGGAGATGGACCTTTCATATGGTGTTCAGTATCTCCTCCTCATTTGTTGGGAACATGACATTATATTGAGGAATGGAGATGGACCTTTCATATGGTGTTCAGTATGTCCTCCTCATTTGTTGGGAACATGACGTTATAATGAGGAATGGAGATGGACTTTCCATATGGTGTCCAGTATCTCATCCTCATTTGTTGGGAACATGACGTTATATTGAGGAATGGAGATGGACCTTTCATATGGTGTCCAGTATCTCCACATTTGTTGGGAACATGACGTTATATTGAGAAATGGAGATGGACCTTTTATATGGTGTCCAGTATCTCCTTATTTGTTGGGAACATGACATTATATTGAGGAATTGAAATGAACCTTTCATATGGTGTCCAGTATCTCATCCTCATTTGTTGGGAACATGACGTTATATTGAGGAATGGAGATGGACCTTTCATATGGTGTCCAGTATCTCCTCCTCATTTGTTGGAACATGAGTTTTATGGAGGAATGGAGATGGACCTTTCATATGGTGTCCAGTATCTCTCCTCATTTGTTGGGAAACATGACGTTATATTGAGGAATGGAGATGGACCTTTCATATGGTGTCCAGTATCTCCTCCTCATTTGTTGGGAACATGACAGTTATATTGAGGAATGGAGATGGACCTTTCATATGGTGTCCAGTATCTCTCCTCATTTGTTGGGAACATGACGTTAATTGAGGAATGGAGATGGACCTTCATATGGTGTCCAGTATCTCCTCCTCATTTGTTGGGAACATGACATGTTATATTGAGGAATGGAGATGGACCTTTCATATGGTGTCCAGTATCTCCTCCTCATTTGTTGGGAACATGACATGTTATATTGAGGAATGGAGATGGACCTTTCATATGGTGTCCAGTATCTACTCTCCTCATTTGTTGGGAACATGATGTTATATTGAGGAATGGAGATGGACCTTTCATATGGTGTCCAGTATGTCCTCCTCATTTGTTGGGAACATGACATTATATTGAGGAATGGAGATGGACCTTTCATATGGTGTCCAGTATCTTCCTCATTTGTTGGGAACATGATGTTATATTGAGGAATGGAGATGGACCTTTTTCATATGGTGTTCAGTATCTCCTCCTCATTTGTTGGGAACATGACGTTATATTGAGGAATGGAGATGGACCTTTATATGGTGTCCAGTATCTCCTCATTTGTTGGGAACATGACATTAATGGAATGGAGATGGACTTTCCATATGGTGTACAGTATCTCCTCTCATTTGTTGGGAACATGACGTTATATTGAGGAATGGAGATGGACCTTTTCATATGGTGTCCAGTATTCTCTCCTCATTTGTTGGGAACATGACGTTATATTGAGAAATGGAGATGGACCTTTTATATGGTGACCTTTCATTATGGGTGACATTATACACTCTGAACTCACATCCTCATGTTGAACATTGAGGAATGAAGAATGGACCTTTCCATATGGTGTCCAGTATCTCCTCCTCATTTGTTGAACATGGTTATTATGGAGGAATGGAGATGGACCTTTCATATGGTGTCCAGTATCTCATCCTCATTTGTTGGGAACATGACGTTATATTGAGGAATGAATGGAGTTATCTCCTTCTCATTTGTTGAGAATGAAACATGAATGGAGTAATGGAGATGGACCTTTCATATGGTGTCCCGTATCTCTTGTTGGAACATGACGTTATATGAGGAAATGGATCCTTTCATATGGTGGACCTTTCATTTGTTGGGAACATGACATTATATGATGGAATGTCCAGTATGGTGTCCTCATATTCTCCTCCTCAAGGAACATGATGTTATCTCACATGTGAATAATCGATGGAACATATGGTGTCCAGTAATAACTCTTTTTTGGGAACATGATGTTATATTGATGAAAAACAATGGTGTTCAATGACTCCTGATTTGTTTGGGAACATGACATTATATTGAATGGAGATGGACCTTTCATATGGTGTACATTATCTTCTCCTCATTTGTTGGGAACATGATATTATATTGAGGAATGGAGATGAACCTTCCATATGGTGTACAGTAACGTGACATTAATTGAGAATGGAAAAACAAAAATGAACATACATGAATGGACTTTCATATGGTGTACAATACTCAATTGGGAACGTCAATTGAGGAAAGAACCTTTTATAATGGTGCAGTATCTCCTCCTCATTTGTTGGGAACTTGACGTTTATATTGAGGAATGGAGATGACCTTTCATATCCAGTATCTCCTCTCAAAAACAAGACGTTATATATGAGAAGATGGACCTTTCATATGGTGTCATTTGTTTTTAGTCTTTTGAAATGGGAACATGACAAGCATGTCCAGCATTTTACAGAACAGTACCTACCGTCCACGTGTGGTACCTACACTAATCCCCCGCCATCTTCTTTTCTCTGCAGTCCTCTATATACACCACCACCAATGTAATGGATAAAGTCATACGTGTCCGTACACTTTGTTCTAATGCTTCTTATTGAACTATGCAGGTTCATTTTCTACGAAGAGTACTTCAAATACATATAACCCCGCCCACATTATTGCATAGTCTTTATGGACATACATACTACACTCCTAAAAAACCCCAATTTACTCTGATGCGATTGTACTGCTTTGCTCATTCTGGCCCTCCCACCCCCCTTGGAAAATCTGAGGCACATGGGGCTGTAATTGTTTCCTGATGGGCCTATATCCTTGAGTTTCTGGTTTTGTATACTGGTGTAGCCTATTACGAGGAGCTACCACTCGACATGCTGTATTTATTTTTATAGTATGAATAGAAAAAAAAAAAAAGAATGAGGCAACCGAAAAAGTTGCAGGAGGAGACCTAGAGGAGGCTTTTCCACATCTGACGTCATAGTATGGGATGTATCAGGAGATTCCTCAAGATTAGAAGGATTCATTGATCTTAGATGGACATCTGAAATCATAGCATGGGATGTATTAGAAGATTCCTCAAGATTAGAAAGATTCATTGATCTTAGATGGACATCTGAAGTCATAGTATGGGATTTATCAGAAGAAGCCTCGGGATTAGAAGGATCCATTGATCTTAGATGGACATCTGAAGTCATAGTATGGGATTGATCAGAAGAAGCCTCAGGATTAGAAGGGTCCATTGATCTTAAATGGACATCTGAAGTCATAATATGGGATTTATCAGAAGATTCCTCCAGTTTAGAAGGATCCATTGATCTTAGATGGACATCTGAAGTCATAGTATGGGATTTATCAGGATTCCTTGGGGTTAGGATGTATTTAATTTTTATAGTATACACAATAGAAAAATAAAGGGGACTTGTGATACCTTCAAGTTGGGGGAGGAGAGCAGTAGGAGGCTTATCCCACCATTTGGTCTCCAAGAAACAGAAGCCAACAGAAGACTTGGACTAATAAGCTCCACCTACAAATAAAAACATGACTTTTGCCAGGCTGTACTCCATTATAAACTAATTTTTTACCCTCCAGTGGTTCTATGGACTAAACCGTTACCCCCCGATAAAAGCCATCGTACATTGGTCAAAAGAGTTAGCTGGCGTCTTCTCTCCGATTGGACTTATGTGATCTGTAAAGCATTCACCGCCGTCTGAAAGTTATCAGGGTGCTTTGAGCTGTGTCTTGTCATGTGTGGGCGTTTTGCAGCGAAACATTTCCCGCACTCTGTACATAATTAAGAACACTCAACCTAAGTGAATTTTCTGGTAAGAAGGATTCCTTTCCGAGTGAAAGATTTCCCGAACTATGAACATAAATAAGGATGCTCACCTGAATGAACTCTCTGGTGCTCAGCAAGGATTTCCTTCCGAGTGAAAGATTTCCCGCACTCTGAACATGAAAAAGGACTGTCATCTGAATGAATTGTCTTGTGCTCAACAAGGATTTCTTTCCGAGTGAAAGATTTCCCACACTCTGAACATGAATAAGGACGCTCACTTGAGTGACTTTTCTGGTGCTTAATAAGGTTGCTTTTCCAAGTGAAAGATTTCCCGCACTCTGAACATGGATAAAGATGCTCACCTGCGTGATTTCTCTGGTGCCTAACAAAGTTGTCTTTCCGAGTGAATGATTTCCCGCACTCTGAACATGAATAAGGATACTCTCCTGAGTGAATTCCCTGGTGTAGGCTAAGATGTTCTTTTGTGAAAAAACCTTTTCCACACTGCAAACACAAATAGGGGCGCTCAGCAGTGTGAATTCTCTGGTGTGTACGAAGGTTTCCTTGGGCAGAAAAACATTTTCCGCACTCTGAACAGCAAAAGGGACGCTCCCCTGTATGAATTCTCTGGTGTTTACGAAAGCATCCATGATCAGAAAAACACTTTCCGCACTCTAAACAGGAATAGGGACGCTCGCCCGTATGAACTCTCTGGTGCTTATGAAGAGATCCTTTACCGAAAAAAAAACATTTCCCGCACTCTAGACAGGAAAAGGGACGCTCGCCTGTATGAATTCTCTGATGTAATCGAAGGCCTCCTTCTTCATAAAAACATTTCCCACACTCTAAACAGGTAAAGGGACGCTCACCAGTGTGAATTCTCTGGTGTACAACAAGGTTGTGTTTATTAGTTAAACATTTTCCACACTCTGAACAGGAAAAGGGTTGTTCTCCCGTATGAATTCTCTGGTGCGTAAGAAGGGCTGTTTTCCAAGCAAAACGTTTCCCACAATCCAAGCATGTATAGGGAAGCTCACCAGTGTGAATTCTCTGGTGTACAAGTAGTAATTGTTTTTTCCTAAAACATTTTCCGCACTCTGAACAACAAAAGGGACGCTCACCGGTGTGAATTCTCAGGTGTGTAACAAGGCTGTCTTTCTTAGCATAACATTTTCCACATTCTAAACATGAGTAGGGACGCTCGGTCTTGTGAGATTTCTGGTGATTAAGAAGTGCTTTTTTATAAGTGTATGCTTTCCCGCACATCGAACATGACAATGAGCTGCCTCCCATGTGACCTCCCTTGTGGCTTGGGGAGGATTTCTGAGGATTGGATGGATCTTTTGATCTGACAGCACTGTGAGAACTTAGATGCTCATTTGAAGTCATAGTATGTGAATTATGAGAAGATTCCTCGGGATTAGAAGGATCCATTGATCTTAGATGGACATCTGAAGTCATAGTATGTGAATTATGAGAAGATTCCTCGGGATTAGAAGGATCCATTGATCTTAGATGGACATCTGAAGTCATAGTATGTGAATTATGAGAAGATTCCTCGGGATTAGAAGGATCCATTGATCCTAGGTGGACATCTGAAGTCATAGTATGGGATCTATCAGAAGGTTCCTCAGAATTAAAACGATATATTGGTGTTAGGTGGACATCTGAAGTCCTAGTATGGGATCTAGCAGAAGATTCCTCAGGATGAGAAGGGCATATTGATTTTAGGTGGACATCTGAAGTCATAGTATGGGATTTACCAGAATATTCCTTGGGATTAGAACGATATATTGGTGTTAGGTGGACATCTGAAGTCATATTTTGGAATTGATCCAAAGATTCCTCAAGATTAGAACGATATATTGATCTTAGGTGGACATCTGAAGTCATAGTATGGGATCTATCATTAGATTTCTCAAGATTAGAACGATATATTGATCTTAGGTGAACATCTGAAGTCATAGGATCTGATCTATCAGAATATTCCTTGGGATTAGAACAATATATTGGTGTTAGATGGACATCTGAAGTCATAGTATGGGATCTATCAGAAGATGCCTTGGGATTAGAAGGATCCATTGATCTTAGATGGACATCTGAAGTCATAGTATGGGATCTAGCAGAAGATTCCTCAGGATGAGAAGGGTATATTGATCTTAGGTGGACATCTAAAGTCATAGTATGGGATTTACCAGAAGATTTCTTGGGATTAGAACGATATATTGGTGTTAGGTGGACATCTGAAGTCATATTTTGGGATTGATCTAAAGATTCCTCAAGATTAGAACTATATATTGATCTTAGGTGGACATCTGAAGTGACAGTATGGGATCTATCAGAAGATTCCTCAAGATTAGAACGATATACTGATCTTTGATGGACATCTGAAGTCATAGTATGGGATCTATCAGAAGATTCCTCAGGATTAGAAGTGTCCATTGATGTTGCCAACCAGTAAAATGTTACCTTTGGAGAACATGGTGCAATGTCGCTATCTTCTGCAGTACAATCTGGAGATATACAATTATTATTATACGTTATGTTTGTTTTTTTACACACCGTCATGTCTAGCATTCAACACTTTCCCAGAGCTCTGGCATTGAATTGGGTACAATCATAACAGCAAACAACGAATATAAACCGGATCAGGTGATATACCCAAACCATACTAGGTGACACTAATTCTGCATTGAGGACATTGTTATAGTGATGGACCTGCTTTTACCTAATTTCCTGAAAACATGAAAACAAACCTAAAGAATGAGGATATACAGTACATATGACGTACAGCAGTAAAGGGGGGGATAGGGGCTCAAGTTTGACTTCTGAAATCACCAGGGGTCTGCACATAGTATTTAGTGTTCTCCAAGTTCCAGACAGCTCATGGTCAATGTAATGGAACCGGACCCCGACTGCATTTGGGTACTTCCGTTAGATTACCGCTTCCCCGACCGAACACCGACCACAGACACCACAGCAGACCATACAAGACTAGACGACACCAGTCTTGAAGTAAACCAGGAAACAGACTACTTTATTTTAACACAGATACAAGATATATACATTCAAGGGAACAACCCCCCCTCCCTGCATAATGACACAGGGCAGGGCAATCTACCTTTAGTAACAAGAGACACACCAGCAGACAGACCGCTGCTGGAGACACCCCCCACCAAGCCAATACACAAACACATACATCCCATAATAGTTTACCCCCAAGCAAGACACACAATAGAACAATGGGATGCAACCACATGGCATTAAACAATTAACAACCCCAATATTAGGACAGATCACCCTGTACCCCTAACAGGCACAGGGTGACTTACACATAAGAGGGATATGGGGAGCTGAGACAGGGGTCTCCCCACCTCTCCAAAGTGAGCTGTGTTCCATGGGCCCCCCACCCAAAGTATGCTGTGTTCCATGGGCCCCCTACCCAAAGTGAGCTGTGTTCCATGGGCCCCCCACCCAAAGTGAGCTGTGTTCCATGGGCCCCCCACCCAAAGTGACTCCCGTCACAGTCAGAGACAGTGAACATGCTATAGGAGATGGTCAGAGTTCCAAAACACGCTACGAGAGCGAAAAGAAAACTTAAAAAGAAAAGAAAATTCATAAATTCATCACTGAAGCATTGTGATCTGTGTTTACTATGCTTCAGCTTGTGAATGAATAGGGAGCATCTATATATTCATCTGTAGTGCAGCTGAGGCTGCAGAAAAAGGGAATGAGGACTCTGTCCACAGTCCCTTTCTCCATCTCAAAAAAGAGACATCAGGGGTCTGACTGACCTGGTGGGATTATACTGGGGGACAGAATGACCCCTGGAGGGGGGAGGATTATACTGGGGGACAGACTGACCTAAGGGAGATTATAATCGGGGACAGACTGACCTGGGGGGGGGGAGGTTTATACTGGAGGACAGACTGACCTGGGGGGGGGGGGGGTGTAAGGATTACACTGGAGGACAGACTAACCTTGGGGGGGGGGGGGGGGGTAAGGATCATATTGGAGGACAGACTGACCTGGGGGGGGAGGATTATGCTAGGGGAGGGACTGACCTGGGGGGGAGGATTATACTAGGGGAGAGACTGACCTGGAGGGGGAAGGATTATACTGGGGGACAGACTGACCTGGGGGGGGGGATTATACTGGGGGACAGACTGATTTAAGGGAGATTATATTCGGGGAAAGACTGACATGGGGGGGAATTTAATGGGGCACAGAATGACCTGGGGTGAAGGATTATACTAGGGGAGCGATTAAGCTGGGGGGATTATACTGGGGGGCAGACTAGCCTGGGGGGAGGGAGAGGGAGAGATTGTATTGGGGAACAGATTGACCTACAGATTATACTGGAGGACAAACTGACCTGAGGGAAGAAGGAAGGAATATACTGGGGGGAGCAAGCAGACCAGGGGGAGGGGGAAGGAGTATACTGGGGGGCAGACAGACCAGGGCGGGATGTACTGGGGGACAGATTCATCTGAGGCAGAAAGGGAAATATTATACTGGGGGAACAGACTGACCGGGGGGGATTCTACTGGGGACAGATTAACCTGGGGGGGGGGGGGGGGGGGGAAATTATACTGGGAGACAAACTTACCTGGTGAGGATTATACTAAGGGAAAATTGACCTGGGGGGAAGGAGGAAAGATCATACCAGGGGACACATTGACCTGGGGAGGGGGATTATACTGGGAGGTAGACTGACCTGGTGAGGATGTACTAGGGAACAGACTGACCTGGGAGGGATTCTACTGGGGACAAATTGACCTGCGGGGGGGGGGGGGGGGGAATATACTGGGAGACAGACTGACCTGGGGGGATTATACTAAAGGACAAATTGACCTGGAGGGAAGGGGGAAAGATTATACTGGGGGGATGTACTAGGGAACAGACTGAGCTAAGGGAGATTATATTCAGGGAAAGACTGACATGGGGGGGGGGGGGGGGGATTTTACTGGGGCACAGAATGACCTGGGGTGAAGGATTATACCGAGGGATGGCCTGACCTGGGGGATTATACTGAATAGTACTGGGGAACAGATGTACCTACAGATTATACTGGAGGAAAAACTGACCTGGGGGGAGGGGGAAGGAATATACTGGGGGATAGACAGACTGGGGGGGGTGTGCTAGGGAACAGACTGACCTGGGGGGGAATCTACTTGGGACAGATTGACCTGGGGGGAGAATTATATTGGAAGACAGAGTCACACAAGTTAATCTTGACCTGGGGGGGGGAATTATACTAAGGGACAAATTCACCTAGAGGGAAGGGGGAAAGATTATACTAGGGGACAGACTGACCTGAGGGGGGGGGGATTATACTGAGAAACAGACTGACCTGGTGAAGATGTACTAGGGAACAGACTGACCAGGGGGGACTATACTAAGGGACAAATTCACCTGGGAGGAAGGGGGAAAGGTTATACCGTGGAACAGACTGACCTGGGGGGTTGGTGGATGTACTAGGGGAAATACTGACCGGGGGGGGGGGGGGGGAGTTGTACTAGGGGACAGACTGACCTGGGATAATTAGGATGGGGACAGATTGACTTGGGGGAAAGTTTTATACTGAGGGACAGGCTACCCAGAGGGGGTGTATTGGGTGACAGGGTGAACTGGGGGGGATTTTACTGGGGGACAGATTGGCGTTGAGGGGGGAGATCAGAGGATTATACTGAATGATAGACTGTCTAGGGGGGATGTACTGGGGAACAGA